ACTGTAACATGCCGGAAATGGCCTAACGATTAATGTGCTCAGCTGTGAATCCATTACCATGGAACACTGTAACATGCCGGAAGTGGCCTAACGATTAATGTGCTCAGCTGTGAATCCATTACCATGGAACACTGTAACATGCCGGAAGTGGCCTAACGATTAATGTGCTCAGCTGTGAATCCATTACCATGGATCACTGTAACATGCCGGAAGTGGCCTAACGATTAATGTGCTCAGCTGTGAATCCATTACCATGGATCACTGTAACATGCCGGAAGTGGCCTAACGATTAATGTGCTCAGCTGTGAATCCATTACCATGGATCACTGTAACATGCCAGAAGTGGCCTAACGATTAATGTGCTCAGCTGTGAATCCATTACCATGGAACACTGTAACATCCCGGAAGTGGTCTAATTATTAGTGTGCTCAGCTGTGAATCCAGGATTAAGGGTTTGTGGCCCGTTGCTCTCCGCACTTTTGGACCCAGGCCTAAGCTATAACAGTTGACAGTCAAATGGAGCAGACAAGAGTAGCCAAGAGTTGGCGGTTGATGCTATCAGATCAAATTAGGGACGGTTGTATGCATATAGCACTTTGCAGTCTTGCACGAAAATTATGAAATAAATACACACTATACTGAAGTTTTTCATCATCTGATCTACAAATGTACTGTTCTCTTGTAAAATAAAATAAAAATAATGAAACTGATCTTCTGTGGGTTATTTTTGTGCCTTACAATTTTCCAATGTTGTTATACAAATCCTTACGACTCCCCATTCTTACTGTCATTTACTGACATTAATCGGATCAAACGAGAAGAAACACTGTAACTGTAATTATCCTTACGAGTTTGTTCCTAGAGAATCAGCGAGAGAATTCTAAAGATCATGCCAATGACATTTCTTTATCACAATATCTTTGAATTATCAGTTTTCTGATAATGTTATATCTCAAGTAATTTAGTAACTTCAGTTTCTCTTTAAATTAATCGTAATGTTACTGCTGATGTGGTCCCCTCTGCCCGGTGGATCAGCGGTAAAATTTACGGACTTAAAAAGCAAAACATCCGGGGCTCGATTTCCCGCGGTGTAAAGAGCATAGATAGCCCATTGTGTGGCTCTGCGCTAAAACAAACACGCTATTCAGTGTAGACATACCGAAGATAAGAAATGACTTGGTACCTCATGAATCTCCCATACATTATGAAACAGACTGGAAGTATCCGATGAGAAGGGGAGTGAATACTTTCTTCTGGTGTTCCAAAACTTCACGTCCCGTAACCAGTCTAGACATGAAATATTGATCTGTGTTCTCGTTTGTTTTTTGTTTTATTCCGTGCCTTAAGATGGTCTTCTTTTTCCCTCTAGATCTTAAAACATGCACTGAGCCTAAAGTAGCCAGAAACAGCTGCAAGTCACGTGCTCTTGACAATCTTGACAAACGAATGTTTGGAAAAAAATACCTTAACGCAATGAATGTCGGGAAATTGGAAGGCTGTTCTATTGATCGTCGTCCAAGAGTGAGCCGGTATCACGTCGAACTTGTTGTGGAACACCAAATTAATGTTTTCGATTCACTGAATTTCCCGTACGCCGTTTCAGCAGCCTCCGACAGGTTACTTCTTTAGCTGCTAGCTCTCGCTAATAAGAGACTTGCGATTAAACGTGTTATATTTTGTCTCACAATAAGTACAAGTTATCGATTTGCAGTTCTGCGGTTGTACGAGGTATAACTTTAAAATAATCAATCCTTTTAAATATATATCTGGCGGGGGAGGAGGTACACGTAAAATTATGACTAGATCGGTTTTACTAAATGTTATAAGACTCGGGAATTTGAAGAGGAAACACGATCTTCGAATTATTGGAAACCGAAGCGACGTTGGACACTTGCCAATAACTCTTGGTTATAATACAGACGTTCAAAACTTAAGACATGGGTGAAATCGAAGACACGTGTAACAAATCTACGTTCGTTGGCCATTGAATGTGAAGAGCACGACAAACAAAATGACTGCCACTGACTACATACAGGGTAAGACGAAAAAACAAAAGAGTGCAAAATACAAGTCACTAATTAAAATATAATTAGAATATTTGCACAGTAAAATTAAACAAAATCTAATGTACTGGAGATTACGAATTTCTATAAAATTATCTGATTTATATTCTCAAAAGGGGTAGCGACAAAATTAAAAATGTTACTGAAAGATGTATCCTATACCACAGTCGACTTCTGAGCTGGAGTAAACATTTCAATTTCTTAAGAGTTATCGATTCTAAATCACAGACTTTTAAGTATTGCTTTCATTTCATTACCTTCGTAAAAATGTTATATAATCAGGCTTAATAAACACGTTTTTCATATTAAGGGTAAATAATACCCAATTACGTTAGCTCATATGCCAATTGGTGGAACCGTGATAGTCAATCAAATATGTGTCTATGATTTTGTTTGTTTGTTTGTAATTAATCATAAAGCTACACAATGGGCTATTTGTGCTCTGCCCGCCACGGGTATCGAAACCCGGATTCTAGCGTTGTAAGTCCACAGACATACCGCTGTGCCACTGGGGTGGGCACGTGTCTATGAAGCAGACATTTTATTTGGATCCAGGAGTCGCCAAGTTTATAACTTTTTAAACTTTATCTTCTATATCTTGACAAAACGTGCAATTTATTTTAAAATGATACAGGACTAACATTTCCGTATTTGCCTTCTACACCATTTTCTCCCTTCAGCGTTTCGTTAGTTATTCCAATACTGTCTGCCTTTTTGATTAAAGATAAAGACGTGTATTAAAACTAAAAGCCATACTCTATTGATGACCGTCTGAAGATATGATCAGTATGTTGATAATTTGTGAAATATGAATAATGTATATATATGTTGCACTATACAACAACATATTGTTTTTATGGAAAAGGTAATATATTTATCTGTATGATGGTATATGTATAGATATAGTTTTTAATTCAATGCTTTTATTATTCATTCGATTGTTTGGGCATTAATTGCCTGGGGTTTCTTGTTGATGTATGTTTCATGAAAAAGGTCAGTTTCTTAATTGTATAAACTTAAAATAATAATAATCCGTGTTTTCGAGTGCATTCGTAGGCTAATAAACCATTAAAATAAATTTGTAACAGAAGGAGAAATATAAGAATACACCTGTAGACAGGTGCAAGTATCTAGAAACATTAATAACCTAAATCTTAAATACCAACAGTATAACTGCACTGAGTATTAAGAAGATGAAATACAAATGCATGAAACTCAAAATTATTTGACAGCTGTTATAGGACTCGTAACAATAAATAATGGTCTGGTCTGGTGGTTAAGGCGCTCGACTCGCAATCTGAGGGTCGTGGATTCGAATCCCTTTACCGAACATGCTCGCCCTTTCAGTCGTGTGGGCGTTATAATGTAACTCTTATCTGTTCGAATAGTGGGATCTGACCGTCACTCTTATAGCGTAACATAGCCTCAATGTGAGTAGGGCGTTTCTGTGACAACGGGTTGCGAGCCAGGAATTTTTCGGTTCAGAGTCCGGGCGGACTAGTTACTAGGCAATGCCTAGCTCCCCCCAAAAAAGAAGATAAAACTATTTTGGGTAACATAAAGTTTTATCTCTGCTTATTGCTTTTATTTTTCTTGGTCTTAATAACTCTTTCTTGTGCATTGATAGTAAGATTTTGCGAGGACACGTTTTTACAGAATCGTCTACTGACAGTTCATCCCTTTTTTCTTTTACAGCAGATGACAAGGAAGATTCCCAACAATATACAGATAACCCATTTATATAAACGCTGTCATGATGGAATTTACTTTGTCAACTAAATACAGAATGTTACATATACATATATGTATGTCACGATCGGATTTACTTTTCAAACGCTACATGAAATGATATATATATACTATGTTTATATATAATCTAAACGCGTTTGTGTGTGTGTGTGTGCGCGCGCTTTTCTATAGCATTTCAACACATTGTTTGTTTGTTTGTTTGTTTTGGAATTT